ACTCGGCCGAAATCATCGGCTATTACTAATTAGCCCTGCTAAGCGACATTGCACAAACGAGACCCCCTTTAGCAGTGGCATCACTAGGGTTGGTGCCACCCAGTGCGGTAACTCATGGTGTCACCCCCCATGGACCTCCTCCCAGACCAGACCATACAGAATCGTTAGTAATGTTTTTTGTACTGTTACTCGTAAATCATAATTCCCGAATATCACTGAATGTAATGGCAATAGTAGTGACATAAACAACCAGCAAAATAAAAATTACACCGTTAAATTACAATATCATACGTACAGCCTAAATGTATATTCTTAGCTCTTTCGGTAAAGTCACGTTGAAGGGAAACAATAAAGTAATAAAATATATTTTGCAAACCGGCACACCTGATGACGACCGTTTGTGTTATGGTCGAAACGTCGTGATAATTTTTATTGTTTTATATATATTTTATTATTTTATTGTTTCCCTTCAACGTGACTTTACCGAAAGAGCTAAGAATATGAATTACTGCAGTCACCAAAGCTTTAAATCAAAAGCCTAAATGTACTTTTACATAGCTTCATGTGGTTAAAGTGAAAATTCGGTAAAAAAACAATAGAATTCGAAGTAAAAAAAAAACCATCAAAACATTTAAGAACTACATTACATCAGATATATATTTGCAAGACAGTGATGTTTTTAAAGAAAATTTTAAAACGACTAAAATGAAAAAAAAACTAATTTAAAATTTAAGTTATATTTCTAAACATGTATCAAGAAACATTGCATTTCCCCCCACTCCATGTTTTCAAGTGTCAATTTCTCTATTTAGTTATCAGTTATATAATCAATAATTGTTCTACATTAAGTTAATTATCAATTTTAATCAGAGAATAATGTGATATAGTTGTAAATTGCTTAAATTTTATATTTATTAGATTAAATGAAACGAACAACAAAATTGTTTCGTAAAAAAACTTTCTACATTGAATTACAACATTATCAGTAACTGAGCGGAAGCCTTATTATTTTTCTCCTTTTACTTTAATTACTACTTCATTCTCAAAAAAGTTATTGATATAGGTTCACAAATACCAATTACCACAATATTGTAGCTAAAACGCCCGAAAATTTGACAAAATCAGCAACTGTAAAAACACCAGCAGTGACGAACACAACAGCGCGTGTTTGTAGCCCGTGCAGACGAAACCACGTGACTCGAAGCGTCACTGTAACTGGGTAACAATGACAGCTCTGACCGGAGCGCTTTAGAAGGTTCAAAAAGAAAATAAGCAAATTAGAGTTTTAGCCTTGTAGGTATATTGATACAGTACATGTAAGCTGGGCTTACGATAAATGCTTTTGTCGTTACAACTACAGGGATATATTTTTTTATATATATAAAAAATATTTTATATATATATAAAAAAATAATAAATTTCTGCTGAAAAACACTGCACAAAAAATGTCATAGACAGTCATGTTGGTGTCACCCCCTCTGATGGTGTCACCCGGTGCGGTTCGCACCCCCCCAAGTGACGCCACTTGCACCTTCGGTTTCTGGTCGGGGAATATGATGTCCCCCTAAAATCTGCACACGCTCTCGAATCCACGTCTGCTGCTTGCCGCCTCTCAGTGTAATTCTCAAGTCCCGCACCTCACCCACGCTTCTTTGTACACTTTTCAAGATTTTTTTGTTCCTTTTTATTTATCGACGTCCGTATTTACGATCCGCATGACATAGCGAATAAGAGTAGACACCAATTTTAAAAGTCTTGTTCAGGCACATTCATTTTTTTGCTTTTCATTCAACTTCAGTTTAATAATGTGAATTTATACAGCACGTTGAAATTATTTTGCACCGTACGTAGCCAACCGTACAAATGGAGGTTGCGGGGGTAGGACAAACTAAATAAAGTATTTAAATCATCTTAAGTCGCTGCACAAGGAAATATTTTTTTTTTTAATCTGTCTTGACAAGACAAAACAAATACCGAAACAAAAAAATCAAAACAAAAAACCACGAGTTGGGAAAATCGAACAACGCGGGGCACCACACCGCGACCCGACCGTCCCAACCACCGTGACCAAACGCAGCCAGCGGATTGTATGTGCAATGTGTAGTCACCGATTGGCACATACAAGAGGTGTTTGAAGTGCCAATGTGAAGTCACCGATTGGCACTTCAACACCTCTTGCATGTGCAATGTGTAGTCACCGATTGGAACTTCAACACCTCTTGCATGTGCAATGTGTAGTCACCGATTGGAACTTCAACACCTCTTGCATGTGCAATGTGTAGTCACCGATTGGCACTTCAACACCTCTTGCATGTGCAATGTGTAGTCACCGATTGGCACTTCAAACACCTCTTGTATGTGCAATGTGTAGTCACCGATTGGAACTTCAACACCTCTAATTTTACACAACATGGTGGGGGGGGAACGATAAACATCACACCTGGGGCAAGCAGCGACATCGGCACGGTGTTCCTCGTCGCGATACCACAGGCCCGAATTGCTAAAATAAAGAATTTCGTCTCGGGCCCAAACCGGCAAACCGTGCAAGTGCACGGTGCAGGTTTTGTCCCCCAACCCCCCCCCCCCCCACAACAAACTTGTTAGTACATTCAATTAATGGTTTTATAGCCTACTTGCTCAGGCAATAAATATACATCGTGGAGCTTTATAAACATAAGGTGTTTTATTTGGAGAAGGAAATGAAAATGTTTTCTTCTTGCTTCATCAGCACGCCACACAACATTCAAACGATCACCTGTGCGTGCTTACACGCTCGCCGAAATCACAGGCGGTGGGGGCGGGGGGTTAGCACGCTGCGCTTATGAACCCGGCCGCGCGAGTTGGATTCCCTGCCCACGGCTGGAGTGATGTCCAAACCGATTCTGGACAGTTCAGGTTCACCGTACACCAACATGCACCGACCAGCGTGGTGAAGCACAGGCAAACGACCGGTTCCATGTCTCACACAGCATAAGGAGACCCCCCCCTCCCACCCCCTCATGCAGCAGTGGATTCGCATAGTGATACAAATTATTGTTGTGGTCATTATTATTAAAACACAGGCAAACACCGGTGTGTGTAGCATTTATGTTTGGACGAGCAATGACAGTGCATGTAATTTACTGTTTTTGGATGTGCGGTCGTGTTTAAATGCAATAGGCCTAATCAAGATTTTAAAAAATAACACCACCCCGCAAAAATAATTGCAAACAAGCAATCAAGAGGCTGATAAATCAAGTTAAATAAAATCGCACCGTCAGGCTGGAGTTAATGCACTGTGGATGTTTGGGATACAAGCGCTGTACCTATGAATGGAATAAAGGATTTACTACAGGCAATGGGGGGGGGGGAATTGGGCCTTGAGCTTCGAACGAAATCAGCCCTGGGAAGTCACGGTGCTAATGACAGTCAAGCAGCGGCGATTCAACACAATTGAAGGAGGGGGGACAGATTCCAACCCAAACGGGTCGAGGCCAGACACGCGACCGCGTTCCGCTCCAATGCGCCACGAGTCGGGACTGCGTTACACCGAGACAGGCACCTCGCTCCGAGTGTGCTCTCGCGTCCAGGCTTAGAGCAGAGTGGAGGGCGGGGGCGAGAGACTTGCCAAATGTAAGGAAATTAACCGACGCGTAGGTTCCAGTGAACAATCATATTCTAAAAACGGCCTTCAAAACACACAAGGGACAAAAGGACGAGGAGAGTCAAGTCAAGACGCCATCACACGTTCGGATAAAAATACGCCCAAACGTCCGTGCAACCAAGCTCGCAAACCGACATAACGAATGGAGCATCCAAACGCGGTTTTTTTTCCACCACTAACTTATCCGTCTTGCTGCACAGCATTCATGGAGAGTCACACTGGCCCTTTAAACACTTGACAGCGGGCATCTCTGAACGTTGCCTCAATTACGCATATAACCTCACGAGCCGATTGCAATTTAACCCGCGAAAAGCGTAACGAGAAAGCGGCACAACATCTCGGCAAAACCAGGGGGATAGCACAAGCGGGCTTTTCCTTCAACAACATCTCGGCAAAACCAGGGGGATAGCACAAGCGGGCTTTTCCTTCAACAATGACGGTGGCTGCCGGCAAAATAACACACGGGGAGCACAGCCGTATATAGCAGCACCTTAGCAGGAGCACGAGTATATTAAATCCCCATGTTGCTTTAAATTAATGGCCTGTTTAACACGTAGGCTGTGTCTGCTTTACGGCCACAAATAAAAATATGGCTTAGCTCGTGCGGGAGGAGAGGAACTTGCAACACCCACCAAAATAAAATAAAAACGCGGCGGAACAGCTTATTGCTACCGGCTCTGGACGGAGTGCGCCGTGGAACAAAGCCTCTTCTGAGAGCGGGGGCGGAAAGGTGTTCGAGTGGAGCGGGCGAGCGCTGCAAAACTGGCTGCCGGGAGCCCTTGAAAGCAATATATCGGCCAAAAGCAACAAACCAGACCGCCCGGGTGGAACAATGGCTCTGGCCACCCGCCGCAAAGACAAATAAACTGACCTGCGCACAAAGCGCCGGGTGGGGGCCAGCGGCCGGATCGGGGGGGGGTGGGGGGGGGGGAATTATAAACTTGAAGCAGAAATGATGAACGTCAGCGCGCCGAGCGGGGAGGAGGAGGAGGAGGGGGGGGACAAGCGAGGGGCGAGAGACGACGTGGGGGGAACGCGGCGGCCAAGGTGCGAGGGACGCTCCCGGTGCTCTGCAAGGGCCGGGGACGCGGAAACAAAGCGTTACACAGGGGGGGAAGAAGGGAGGGGGGGGCTTCTATCTTTCGCACGCAGGCGCACGTACGGCGGTGCCAGGCCTTGCGTGACCCGCCCCCCCCCCCCCCATCCGCCGTTCGTACGGGTGCCAGATTCTGCTGACCACCAGTGCCCCCCACCCCGAGCCAAATGTTTGAGCCAGCACGCAGCTGTGCACGTCCCTCAAAACGGCGGGTGTACAGTGCTCGTACATGCGCGTGCGTGCGTATATATTTATACTCACTTTATAGCATGTGCGAGGCCCAGCGCGCGCGTTTACTCGAATGCTCGAAGCTGGCGCCGGTGAAGGAAGATGGTGTCAGACGCTAACGCACCGGTGGACTCCCTCTCTCATGCGCACACACGCCAGCCACGCACGGCTCCAGGCAAGCGCAGAACCGTGTGAACACAAAGCAGGTACAAGCGAGCGAGCTTTGTCACACGGCCATGAGCTCCACCTCCAATGAGAGAATAAAGGCAGGCGAAAGAGGACACCTTCTATAAAACAATAAGCGCTTCAAATCAAGCAGCGTTCATCCGTTTCAATTGGGCTTCTCTTTCATGAGCCCTCCCCCGTTATTCTAATAAATAGGGCTGTTTGGGGCGAGGAAGGGAGGGAGGGGAAGGCAGGAGGAGAATCCGCAGAATTTAACTTGGATTAGGATATTGTTTATGGTCACTTTTTTTTTTTCGCAAAGACAAATATCCTGCATGGAAACCTCGCCCAGGGTGACTTTCTTTGTCTTGCGAGAACGGAACCCCGTTTTACCGAACCATCGCTGGAAGGATGAGCGTCGCCACCAAGACGAGTGCCTTCGCTCCGGCTGCGGCGACGGGGCGAGCCGCACGCTCTCTCGCAGCTTTGAGGAGCCCTTGGAACCGTTCCGATGCCAACATCGGGGCTCCGCTCGAGCAAAGTAAAAAAAAAAAATCCGTAGACCTCAAAGCGACGGCGCCGGAGGTTCACATCCAAATACGGGCGTGGGTTTAAAATGTCACCCCCCCCCCCCCAACCCCCGGCACTCCACAACCCCCCCCCCCCCCCCCCCCAAGACCAGGGCAGCATCAACCTAAATCATTTCAATGGCCCGTCGGTCACGCCGTTTGGACACAAAACGACGTGTGGCTTTGATGCAACGGTATGCCTCCTGCATCAGATAAGCCCCTACGCGGGTACGAGCGCATTTTGAAATTCCTGCTACCGAACCGAGGCGGATGTCGTTTTGAGAGCAGGACATTTGACAGCTGCCAGTGGTCAACTCGCATCTCAACTCCTTTGAGTGCGCGAGGAGCGGTCAGTAAGTTTTCTAGAACAGGATATTAAAAATATGCACAGGCCAGTGCTTTATTCTCCAAGAGCGAGTGAATGTACGTACTTAGGTGTGCTACCTGTGTACGTTTACGCGAATGGAAATTAATGAGCATGTGAAAAGTCACATCAGCAGGGATCAGGGGGGAAAAAAAATCAGCTCAACATCTGCCAAAGTGAAATGTTGAGCTCTATGTATATAGAATGTAGTATTATTTTATTTTCATGTTTCGCTTAAGCTAAAGTGACAAGTAATTATTTTCATTCAAGTTCTACTGTACAACATAATAAATTAATATGCAGTATACCACCCGTATGTTAATGAATAGTATTCAGGTTAAAACTGCAGAACATAAGAGCCCTTATTTTCCACCCACATGATTGAGGCTCCCCGGCATTGCAATGGTCCTTTCTTCGGCAAGAGCCCCCCGGACCAGGCAACAGTAAACCCTCGTTTGTTTAAACAATAATTCAAAACTGCCGAAAAATGAGATCAGCGTCACTTGGAAAAAAAAAATAGAATGCCACTTCTCCAAGCCCCATCTGCTACCTGAACGTATTTTAGTTCAAACCGGTTGAAAAGCCTTTAAAAAATATTTCTCGCTCGGGAGCCAAATGCAAATGAGGTCCGGATCGAAATTTGCTTTGGCAAGGGCGCACACCGACTCGGCAGTCTTGCCGCAACGAGAGCCAAGATACGAGAAACCCCCCAGAACGCCTTTAAACGCGAGTTCACGCGCACCTGCAAGGTGGGGTGGAGGGGGGGCGGCTTCGACGCAACACAGCTCACCCCCCAGAGGAGGCACCGTTTAGTGACGTCAGGGGCCCCGGCGGGTTTTTTTTTTTTTGGGTCTCGCTTGGCGGCGGCCCAGCGGGCCTCTTGTTTATCTTGGACGATCCCCTCCCACTTTCGGGTCACCGACTTCGGCTTGACCGGCCGAGCAGGTTGTGCAACGCGTGAACAGGCGCCCGATTTACGCCGCGAGATCTTGCGACAGCCCCTCCCCCGACGGTCGCTGGTGTGCGAACGCATCTGACATCATGAGTGACACTCAATTAGTATTTATCAATAGTGACTTACGAAAGCAAACCGGCTGGCGGCCTGCTTCGTCAAAAAGGCATAGTCTTTTCGTGAAAAAGAATATATTGCGCAGAAAATGTTCAAACTTTATGAAGCTGCTGTTTGAACGGTGTGTAATTGTACCGTTCTACGCATTTACATTTGTTAAATCAATGCGCAACGCAAACAAATAAGGGAACATTTGGAACAAATAGGTTGGGCGTTGCATCAGTTGCAAAGCCGCTTATGTCGATTGCGCATCAGCGTGCCCCGGTTTTCCGGTAGGGATGGGTTGTGTAATTTGTGCAAATAAAGTCCATTTTTTTTCTTTTTCAGGTAAACGGGGGAGGGGTGGCAGGGGGGGCATCCTTTACTTAAGCCAGGCTTAAAAAAAAGTGAGGAGCGTTTTCTCTGGTCGGGTTATAAATAGACAAACTGAACGCAGCGTAAGGATTAACGTTCGTGAGCCAAACTTGAAAGGGCACGCTGGACTTTTGCTTCACGTGTGCAATGCAGCAGAGCCGTGAACGTAGCAGTGCCATGAAGGAGGAAGTGGCTGCGGCCCTGGTTTGACGATAATAAAAGCTACCATACTGCCTCTACTTGACTACTGTGACATCGTGTATAAATCAGCCCCCAGTACTGTACTAAAGAAGCTTGATTCCATCTATCACTCGGCCTTATGATTTACATTGAACTGCCCATATAGGACTCACCACTGTGATCTCTACATTGGGTCAAACTTAACATCTCTTAATGTTCGACGGCTTGTGCACCAGATCTTATTTATTCACGATGTACTTACAAAAAAATCCGCAGACTACCTGCTGGATCTCCTCTCTGTTTCAAAGAACAAATTTGACCTCAGGTCTTCGCTCATTTACCAGCTTCACATTCCCTATTGCCGTACAAAAACTGGAGGAAGGGCCTTTGCTATTGATGCCCCCAGGGTCTCGAATGCTATTACCAATAAACTGCAACTTGAATCGCTACAAATGAGATCATCTCTCAAAACTGCTCTAGAGGAGGTGTACACCCCTAGCTGCCACTGCTATTCATTGGCGTAAAATAAAATGTTTTCGCTCCAGATGACGCAAAGTATTATCTGTATTTTGATTTAGCATGCTGATCTTAAAGATGCATTGAAAAATGTGATACTCCGACTGATGCTTCTGTTGTTGTGGAGTAACTCATGCAGCCAGCTATGGCTCTAGGATTTGGTATTACATGTTATTTATGTACTTTATTGTAAAAATCCGGTCACCATCCCTGTGATCACTGTTACGTTGCAATTATGGCTTTATTTTCTGGTGATTTCGAAAAAGTTTTTTTGGTTTGGACATGTTTTTTTGTTGTAGTACGGAGTTAGACTGATGGCCTTAATCTAAGTTTTCTTGTGGTTGTTGTTGTTGTTTGACTTGCATCCCACTGGGATTTTTTGCACACAGCGTTGGTGTACGGTGCTTTTTTCATGAATTTTTTGCTGTTTTTTTTCATGGATTTTCTGTTTGCACAGTCACAGTCACTTTAAAATGTTTTTCTTGTTCGTGTTTTTGTTGTTTTGTTGTGGTTGCACCCGATTCAAGAGCCGAATGGCTCACAGGGCTATACCAAAATAAGAAAAACTGAAATCACAACCTCAAACAGCCAAAGGAAGAGCGTCCACGTGATAGCTGGTGTTCTGGAGTTATTACCTGTGCTATTAACACCAACTAATGTCTGTATGTATGTTGCACTTCTTTCGCCAGTATTCCACCGCTCTCCACACCCATCCACAAAACAAAGATCCCCTGTATAGCCTGAACAGACTGTTGGGGCAAGTGCTGTTAGTGAGCACCTATGAAGGCCGGAACGGCACACGAGGGGGTGGGAGGCAAACACCACTCCCGGCCGCCTTTGTCTCCCCAGTAGTGATGTTTGCACACCATACAAGGTACTGAGTCGACCTAGGGGAGGCCCAGGACTGGTTCAGATAAACGTCACTGGTGGCAAGCGGAAATCGAACCTCGGTCACCAGGTTCGTAGCGCAGCGCACTAACCGCTACACGAACCACTCCCCACACACCCATCCACACTCGGGCTCACACGAGTTATCCTACCGTGCTGCGTGCATGGGGAAAAAAAAAACAATTCACACAATGGCAATTCTTATTTGAAACTCCACTATTAATGCATAAATCATGTAAATATATTTACCGTATGAACATTGTTGTGGCGTTCTAATCCCGGTCACGGCTAGAAGTTAACAGTTGGCTGTACCATTTGTTGAACTTTTTTCGCACCGTACGTAGCCAAAACGTGCTAAATCGGAGGTGCGAACTAATACAGATCGGCCATGAAAAGTACGTGCTGCATTGAGCAGAAAAGAACACATCACCGTGGCGGTTTTTCCCCAGGAAGGACCATGCAAGTAATTGGACCAAAGCATTTTTAAATAGGTTCAATCATAACAGCTCAGTGGACAATGGTGTGTGGCTTGGAAGATACGACTACCAAGTGCCTGCGTGCCGACCCGCCACAACACACTCTGGGGACAAAACTGCCGCAAGACAAAACTGCCACGTATTAGTAATGCTATCAATGCACATTGGCAATGCAGGAAAGTCTCGAGTTATTTTTTGTTCCCAAGGAGGTCCCTGCAATGGGATGTTTGGCCAATTCCATTGATGAGCATTCAGCATGTGGGAGGAAACGAGAGTCAACGGAGAAAACCACACAGATGGATTTCCAAAATCCACTCACTTGGCTGCACTGCCATTTCATGGTCACCTCGCTGCCCAACAGGTTTTGAAAACTCGACAGATCTGTGCGACCCACTAAACCACGCCTCTGAAGTGCTGGATTACAAGGTGAGCAACCGTAGACACCTCACATCAAATGCAAACTGGCCCTTCAACCTGGGTTCATTCCATTTCTCTTTTTAAACATAACCGATTTATCTTCTTGGTTCTTTCGGTAAAGTCACGTAGAATAAAAATAAAATAATAAAACATAATAATATAAAATTCTCACGACGTTTCGGCCACAACACAAGTAGCCTTCTTCAGGTGAAGGAACAGAACTGTCGGGACGACAGCGCTTCAATGAACGCTGCTAAGCTTGGCAGTGTCTTTTAAGCTGGGTGGGAGGAGCAGAGTGCCTTGATAAAGGCGTTTACATATAAACAGAAGAATTTAGTATTGAAGTAGCTGTGTTAATGTGTTGGATTAGCTGGGTGTTAAAGTCCGAAATTAGCATGCAACTGGGAGATTAGCATGATGTTAGTGTGAGGGATTAGCATGAAAGTGGTCACGGAAGTAGCTATGTTAAAGTCAGAGTTTACATATCAACAGAGGCATTTAGTATATTGATGCTAAAGAACTGCAACTACCCAACTATCATACAATAAGCCGATGTGAAAGAACTAAGTATAAACTACATCAATATAATAAATGTACTCAATATATTCTTCAATAAGTTGAGCTATTAACATAACAGATCCAGGTCCGATTCAACACGGTACATAAAATCCGTGATCTGGTTCAGTCTGTAAAAGTTCTTTCACATCGGCTTATTGTATGATAGTTGGGTAGTTTAGCGTCAATATACTAAATGCCTCT